AAAAAAAAAAAAAAAAAAAAAAAAAAAAAAGAAAAATAGGTAGGCCTAAGTCAGCATAATTGTACTGAATCCTCCACACCTTTTCTTTAAAACTTTATGTGGAATTATAAACCAGATTAGTATTATTCAATTATATTTTCCATGCCTATGCTCAATTTTCGGAACATCAATTTTAGCTTTTACATTTGATTTTATAATCATATATAAACAAATAGCTGAAAGGGGCTCTCAATGTTACTTATTCTTGATGCTTATTGTCATTCATGTCATAGAAAATCTCATTTTTAAATTCACAATTTTCATTCATCTCATCTCTTGTTCAGTTTAAGTAGATGTTTTTTAGATTGCACATAAAATTCTTTTCTATAATCTTACATATATATTTATCTCAAAACACACATAGGTAAGATTATGTATAAAATATATTTTTAAGTATTTAAGTCTTGTGTTATAATCAATTTTCCTTAGATACTACACACTATGGCCAATTATTTTTGGCTGTGTTGTAATGAAGAGGCATAAAGCAAACTTGACTTTGGTTTCTTCATTAGGAACACTTATCTCTTGCCACATGAATTATAAAATTCATTTGGGGATAGATTTCTTTTTATTGTTTTATTTTATGTAATATAAGTAACATAAAAATAATGGATAATATGCTTTAACCATTATGTGCTTTTCATCTTCAAACATTTTCTTATAGTACATCTTTATTTTCTACTTTTTATGTGCTCTGGTTTTACTGTTAGGAAACAGTATCATTTGATTTCTTCCTTGCTCCACCCTATCAGTTCTCTCACCCATCATTTTCATCTACTAGTCCTTTCTTTCTGCATTGTGTTGAATATTCAGTTCAAATTGAACACTTGTTCATTTCTTACAGCACTATTTCCTTACTATTTTCAATGAAGATTTTAAGTCTTTTAGTGTTGATTTCACTTCTTTCTGGTCTTTATATTCTTCAGTTACCATGTTCAAATTAATGTATTTTTCAGTCTATCTTTTGATTTCATCCTGATTTTTTTTTTCTTATGAGAATCTCTGCTATAGTGGGCATACTTTATTACATGGCACTCAACACAAAGCAAACCAAAAAACCATTCTTCAATGTGTTCTTCTATTTAGAATAAAAAAATAATTTTCCCAGGTATTGATTTCCTCCACATAATGTAGACTGCAGAATTTTTTTTCATATGTCCCACATGGTTTTTGCACAGTTTAACTGTGTTGTCTGAATGCAAAAAGAGGTGCTTGTGCAAGCCAACAGTAGGCCCAGCCATAGGCTATGCAACACTCTCGGGTTCTTCAGCTTCTCAGTTGCTTTGAAAGCCCCATTATAACCCCTTTTTATTTTAGACATACCAAGAATTCTAAATCTGATTGTTATACTCATGACCCACATTGCATCCCATCACATTCCCATGCATAGCCCTTTCGTTCTACACATGTTCGATTAGCCATACTGGCAAGTTATTCTAAATCTGATTGTTATACTCATGACCCACATTGCATCCCATCACATTCCCATGCATAGCTCTTTCGTTCTACACATGTTCGATTAGCCATACTGGCAAGTTGGAAAGCAGGAGAGTAGGCATGAGTATTATAAAAAAATCATTGTGGCATATATGAAGATACTTCAAAGTCTTCATGGAAAGATAGAATTGAAAGATAATACAAATCTTTCTTTCCTTTTTTTTTTTTGTTTTGTTTTGTTTGTTTGTTTTTGAGCAGCTGGCTGGTGTGAGGATCTGAACCCCTTGGCCTTGGTTTACAACACTGTGCTCTAGCCAACTGAGCTACCCGGCCAGCCTCATAATATGAATCTTTCCATGAACTTTTTGAAGTACCCTCATACATGTATATGTATGTGTATACACACACACACATACATATACACACACATAAACACACACACACACACAATTTCCTCCTCTCTGAATCCTTCAGATACTGAATGAAAGACATCTGCTATTATTTAATTTGTTTAATGGTTTAATTTTCTCTTATTTTTAGTCCCAAATATCTTAATTTGGAATTGTTGGCCTAAAGAGAAACTGAGACCAAATATGTGCAGCAAGTATTTATTTAGCCAATATGACGATTTCAACCAGGGAGAAGCATAGTTCAGGTTGCCCTGAGAAGTTCTAAAGAGGGCCAGCAGAGCTTAACATTTTATAATCACAAGAAGGGGGAAGGGTCAAAGGAAAGAGAAAAAAGCATAGCCTCACCCAATTACTTTATCGGTTTTTTTATTGGTGTACATGACATATAGATTTGGGATTGTTACTAGGTTATATAGGAGTTATAAGAAGTATTTTATGTTATTTTATGACTTTCTGGTGCCATTAAGTCTGCTTCTAAGTAAAAATGGTCTTATGATAATGTTTTCCAGGAAAGGCAGATGTGACTACTTACTTATCCCAGATCTCCCAAGGTGCTATAATTTAACTGAACTGGTCAGAGTAGATTCCTTTGGTTATCACAATTAAATAGGTTTCTCCTAGTCAGTCTGTCCTGTTTGCTATCAGGCTTGAACAAATATTAATTCACACAATTCTAACTAGTCTAACTAGTCTTTCTTTGGCCCCTTTACTCATAACACAACATCTAGATGAACATAACAGCTTCATCTGGCTTTCTCAGATGGAAGCTCATGCAGCAACGGGACAGGACTCCACATCTCCTGAGTAAGGGCTGGGGGAGGACCCACATACCTCCTGTGAACTGCCAGGGAAGTGGTGTGATTCTGTTTCAGAGAACAAAGCATGCAGAGGTACAGACTGTTCTCCAAGCCCTCCTCATTAGCCCCAAAATTATAGAAAAATCTCCCAGGCTGAAAAGTGATTGACAATGATCCATGAATTTTAGTATGTGTGTTTTTTAAACTCTGTGTATCTTATTTCTGTACCTTTATAGTTATTTTAATATTAAGAGAAGACATACCAGGGATTCCTAGTCTCATACCTTTAAATTTGAGAGTTCCTTTGCCCAGGAGCATTAATTATGTTTAAAAAAACAAAGCAAGATAGCACTTCATCTCACAGGATAATACACTATATTTCATAAAGTCTCACTTTATTTAAAGTAAAAGGGTCCTTTCAAAAACGTTTTTGCAAAACAGTCGATGTACTATGATGATGTTTTGAAAATACAGAATTTAGGCTCTGCAGCAAATTTGGCTTTAACGTGCCATGATTCATCAAGTTTTGTTCTCCATATGATATTTTAGAGAGTACTGCTTGGCAGTAAAGGAGCTCTTCTGTGCAAAAGAATGGCTGGCAATGGAAGAAAAGACCCACAGAGGACTCTACAGACCTGGGATGCATCTGCTCTCCGTGCCAGAATGCAGCAAGCTTCCCAGCATGCACTGGGACCCCATGGCCTGTACCAGACTCCCATATTTAGGTAACAGAGTTCTCCCGAGACTTTGGAGGTTAAGAGAAATTTACTATTTTGAAAAAACTAAGGTGTGAACTTAAATCTCCTAATATTTATAGGCGTTTCTAATGTTTTTCTGAGTTCTGCCTTTCTCAGATACCTAATAGCAGAATCCTAATGCTATCCTAATCGCACAGGCTAGCATAGAGATTTATTTTATTTGATCTAAAAGAAATTAAAGAGCACTTTTATCTGCTTGAGATCTTACCTTATGAGAGCTTGTGACATTTTCTGGTATATGCAGAAAAAATGGCTAAGAAACATCTCATATTTCGTCAGAAGAGTAAAATAAAGGAATAAAGTCCTCTTTCTTAGCCAATAAAGCAGTTTTTAAGCATGCAAAAATAAGCCACATGTTTGGAAATGTTGATCTCACAAAACCAAACTGAATTGCTGCATGTTGCTTTAATGAACTTCGTTTGCAAGGAACTATGTTCTTATCACTAACAGTTGGTTTAATTTCAAAGATGCGATTCTTTCAAATTAGAATGCAAAGAATGTTTTCCAGTGGTGTATTAAAAAGCTGAAAGAGAACTTGCATTTCTTAGCACTCTCTCACAGAGTATGAGATATCTCGATGCTCACTTAAAACAAATTTTTTATCCTTTCCCCCTCAGATTATAAAAAAGAAAACGTAACAAGTAAGTAATTTTGTTTGTGCCCTTGAAACCTTACGTGTATGTAATTGGATTCGTGCATGCATATTTACACTCATACTTCATGACTCCAGAAAAAATCTCTCTCAATGGCTTTTCACCATACTCCTCCAGGGTAGACCATGAACGAAGATCATTGAAGCTCTCAGCTTAGAGCTTCTTCTTTTTTTTTTTTAATTTTTTAATTTATTTTATTTATTGAATCAAAATCGATTATACATATTTTGGGGGTTGAACATTTAGACATGTTGATTAAATCAATATTACTAGCATATATATTGTTACAAATCGTAATTATTCTTTATGCCCCTTGTCCAATCTCGCCCCTTCCCCCATTCCCTCCCCCTCCCCCCTCTAATTACCCTAGATTTCTTCTCTCCTTCTGAAAGAATAATGGTTACTCTGTTAACTTGTTGCCTAGATGATCTGTCCAATGCTGAGAGATGTGACCAGGTCCCCCAATATTATCATAGAGCAGATGCTTCTTCTGTCACTCTGAAATGGGCTTTGTGGAAAGGGACATCCTCTTCTTTTCTTTGTCTCTGCTGGTGACTCTTCTTGTGTGAATGCATCCAGTGGTTGGCGGACCATCTGCATGGTGGTTGTGGCATCTAGCCACTTTTGCAGCAGCCATGGTTATTGTGGTGGCTGTGGTGGGCCACCTACATGGAAGTGCTGTTTTTGGCATGCTCCTTGGCACTAGCGGTATGCCTGGTTGTGGGGTGTGTTTGGTCCCCTTTCCATGCCTCTGGTCCCTGGGCAGGCCCCAAGGTACTTGTGCAGTGTGCCTGGTTGTGGGAGTAGGGTCCGGTCCCCTTCTCCATACCTCAGGTACCCAGGTGGGCCCCAATGTGCTGGTGTTTTGTGCCTGGTGTGGGAGGAGGGTCCAGTCCTCTTCTGCATGCCTCTGGGCTGGGCGGGCCCCCAGGTGCTGGCACGATGTCCCTAGTTGTGGAAGAGAGGTCCTGTCCCCTTCTCCTTGCCTCAGGTCCCTAGGGTGGGCCCCGAGGTACTGGCATGGTGTGCCTTGTTGTGGGAGGAGGGTCTGGTTCTTGGCTCCTTGCCTCAGGTCCCCGGGCAGGCCCTAAGGTGCTGGCGTGGTATGCCTGGTTGTGGGAGGGTGGTCCAGTCCCCAACTCCATACCCCAGGTCCCTGTGTGGGCCCCAGGGCACTGGCTCAGTGTGCCTGGTGGTGGGAGGGTGGTCCAGTCCCCTTCTCCATGCCCTTGGTCCCTGGGCGGGGCCCAGGTGCTGGCATGGTATGCCTGGTTGTGGGAGAGAGGTCCAGTCCCCTTCTTCATGCCTCAGGTCCCTGGGTGGGCCTGAAGCAATGGCTCAGTGTGCCTGGTTGTGGGAGGGGGGGGTCCAGTCCCCTTCTCCATGCTTCAGGTCCCCAGGCTGTCCCTAAGGCACTGGTGCAGTTTGCCTGGAAGTGGGTGTGGGGTCCGGTCCCCAGATCTAAGCCTCCAGTTCCCAGCCAGGCCCCAAGGTGCTGGTGGTATCCCTGGGCTGGAACTAATTTTTTGTCCTTTGTTTCTAACATGGGGAACTTCCTGTGGGAACCAGTACTTGAGCTGTGTGGTTGTTTAAATTGCTACTTTGCTGCTGTTTCCCTAGGGAAGGCTTTTTGTGCAGCTCAGGGCTTAATGGTTGACCTTATAGGTACTTCCGGCTCTCCAGAGACCTGGTGGATCTGTGTTCTGTAGAATCTCTGATCTGGGCCTGAGTTTTTTCATCAAACTGTACCCCATGCAATTCTGCATTCCTGACCAGTCTCCTCTGAGTGGTCCTGTGCTGATTGGGGGGCAGATCAGCTGTTCTTGCTGTGTCCCAGTGTTCCCCTGGTGGGCCCGTCTCCCCCACCGCCCATGCTGCAAATACTTCCCATGGGAAGGGCCATGCACCGGTCCCTTGCAATGACTCACCGGCCTCTGAGTAGCTCCCTTTTTTCAGTTGTTCTGGTTCCTCGCTCCTGTGTGGATCCACGGGAACCTTGTTAGTGGTCTGCTGTCCTGGGGGCCGCCAAGGCCCTCTTCTCCCCTGCTGCCTCCAAGTAACTGCATCTAAAGGGCACAGCTGCGGCTTCTGCCGGCTCCTGCTCCATGTGCTCAGCAGCTCGAGCCTTAAAGCAGCCGCAGCCTGAAATGCTCAGAGCAGTTTTTTCTTTCTCTCACTGTGGCTTCTCCCACCTTCATGAACTCCATAGGTCTCTCCTCCTCTTCCCCTGAGCTCCAGCCACCCTGGCTTGGCTGATGTCACATTTTTATAGTTGTAAATTTGGTTGATTTTTGGGAGAGAGTGACACTGCGGATCATCTATTCTGCCATCTTCTAGAGCTTCTAATTAGGCCATGGAGAACAACATGTTTAGTTCATGATACAAATAATATTCTTGCACCTCAAAGTATTAGCCTGCTTTATCCCATATATGTCTATAAAATAAGCCATATTTAAAATATCACCTTTTAATTTTGCATTTATGATTTTGTATTACCTCACTATTTATAGATGAAAACAAATATTTATTTCTTCATTGAACTTATGTTCTTCATTTGTGATGATAGATCCTTCTTTTGGAAGATGGGTGTTTTTTAAGACAGTTGATTTCCAGGATAAAGTTTTATAGGGTCAAATCAAATGGTTTTGAAAGCGTCATCACAGAATATCTAGGAAAGAATTCAAGAAGGTTCCTTGGAAAGGGATGTCCTAGAAATGTGTATCAGATGGTGCTTTTAACCTACCAGAATGCAGAAATCCTTAGAATGAAATTAGAAAAGTTTTCATGTCAATTAACTTCCTCTGATTTGTGTTCTAAGGCTTAAACCACATTCACTTCCTGTGATACATATTCCAGGCCTAATCCCTTCTGCACTTGGCTAAGTGCCAGGACTTGATTTACCAATTTATTTAAATGACTGAGATTTAAAGTATTAAAAGAAAGAATGCTACAAGTCCCAATTGAATCACTCACCATTACTAAACAAGAGCAGTTATGGAAAACCTAAAAACCTATTATTCTGGAAGCCGGTCAAATTGCTCTTCCCAAATTGAAAGAATGACAATGTTTCAATTCTTTATCATATAAGCAGCCAAAGTTTACTTTGGTTGGACTTTTGATCAATAACCATGGTCTTTGTTATCCTTCAGTTGTTTACCTGCTCATCCATACAAGCATTCACGTAGGGTTCATTGTGTGGCAGGTGCTGACCTTTAATCCTAAATTAGAAGGGAACAAAACACCAAAAAAGCACCCATGTTTCTGCCTTTTATACTGGTTATAATGGAATTTTGTGCAGCATAAACTGGCTAGAATAGCTTTCCTAGTCTTTAAAAAACACCATTTTGTGAAATCTTTGATACTTATAAGAAAATGAGCTCCAAATGTCGTAAATGAATCATTTCATCTGACCACGTTGTATGTAATGTCTTTAAGTGTGCTGAGTTAAATGCAATTATTATTAAAGAAATTGACTTTAGCTTTTCAGGTAGGTCAATAGTTGGGCAAAGAAGGCATCCTTACTAGGCGGTGTCCTCTATCCTATGGAAGTGTGTAAAGCCTCCAAATATTTCTCGAGTTTCTTGATTTCTGAGTAAAGTCTAAAGGATATTTATTTTAAGGGGTGATGGAGGATTATTTTTTAAATCATTTGTTTATCTTTGCATTATTTTCTTTTTTGAACACTGGAACTAGTATTTCAGTAGTTTTTATTTTTTACGACTTGTTTTGCTGAAGTGAAACACCCTTTGAGAATGTTATGCCTTTGTGCTAGTCACAGTATTTGCTAGGTAGGCATTGCACTGTTCCTCTCTTCTGTGGGATGTCACATGCTTTATGACAGAAACTCTCAGCCTTGAGTCTGTCTTCTCCTGTTTCAAAGCTCCTGTGGGAAAAAAAAGTATACTCTGGCTAAATTATCAGAGTGATAATTTGCTTTTCTCTTCAATTCTTTTTCCTCTTCCATCTTTACTCTCTCCATACATATATAGAGAGAGAAGTGTGTGGGAAAATCCAGGCAAACTGATCAGTGTGCTCTATGAAATTCACTACTACGAATGTCCTCCATTTACGTACAAGTCAATTTGAGAAAGAGAGATTAAGCGACTTGCCCAAATTTACTCATCTAGTAAAGGTAGAGCCAAGATTTGAACCCAAATCTGTCTGATTCTGGCTCTGTCTGTAGAGCCTCATTTCTTAACTGTTACATGTGATGCCTCTCTGTTATCATGGTTTATTTTTATTTCCAAGACATCATTTGTAATAAAGCTTCCCTGATTGTTTAACCACCTAGATATCTTATTCTTGAATCGATACCACTACCTTTTCACATTCTATTTTAATTGATTATTCTTAAGAAGATCCAGTTGACAAAAGTTTTGTTGTTCACAGTTTTAAATCACCTAGGCAACTTGATGATTTGATTTTTTGCCAACTTTAGATGAATATACGTTTTGTGTCCAAAACTCATTTTTCCGTCATGTTCAGTCACCGTTTTGTCCACAAATGAAATCATAAAGATTGTGTGTGTGTATGTGTGTGTGTAAAACATTTGAATGATTTAACTGTTTGAAGTGCTGGTTGGGTAATTTTTGTGGTAATATTAAAGTTGCAAGTTCACAGAAACTTTGAGTTGAAAGTGGCTTTAATAATTATTTAATCCAAACTCTCCTGCAATTAAAGAATTTCTCCTACAGTGAAAGAATCTTTTCTAGAGCATCTCTGACAGTCATTCCCTTTCCCTACTTGAATTCATTCCTTCATTCCATTGTAGAATACATTAATTATTAGAGCAATTTAGCTATGTAGAACTACATTCTAGTCCTCTATAACTGATTGTTACTTTACTCCTTTGATCCATCTTCTATAGAACAGCCCTTAAAATATTTGCAGACAGGTACCCTATGTCCCTGTAGTCTTCTCTTCTTCACATTAAATAGCTCCAATGTTCAACTTTTTCTTTTGCAACCTGACTTCCAAAATCATCACCT